AACTTCTACGATGGTTACCCATTTTAGATTTATTTGGCAATCGAAGAACTTCCGCGTAGGACATTTCTAAACGTTTCAGCCGCGCGACCTCCTCCGATGCTGTGCTTGGCTTATAGTCTCTGTACTCGAAACTGTTGTTGTGCTGGTCGTTGCTGTTGCGTTGGTGTACGTTGTTCGATTGTAGCTTCCCAGAATTAGGCGACTCTCTCGTTTTATTCGCGTAACTGTAACCGTTGCATATGCTGCCGTTATTCTGATCGGTAGCCGTGAAAGGCCTGAACTTCTTTTTCCCACCGCTGCTCGACTTCGACGGGAGGAACTTCGGGTTTGTTGTCGGGATCACATCGGGCGTCGTTGGCCTATCGTTATACGTTAATTTCCTACTGGTATGCTTCTTTGATAATTTCTTCTTATAGTTGAACGCTATGTAATCCGTGCGATTTGTGTCGCGAATGATATCGTTTCTAGTTTTCACCTGGGCGGTCGCGATCGTTTCGTTGGACGAGACAGGCACCTGTACCCTGTAAGGTGGTTCAGACACAGCGGAGGAGAACATGGATGAGGCGATGCTCTGATTATCGTCAGTAGTCTCGCTCGGCACATCCTCCTGCAGCAAGATGGAGGACTGCAGCTGAGAATTGTTGCTCGTACTCGTCGAATCGTCCAACAATGGTAATTTCTCGCCCTCGTCTTTCGCCTCGGCCGCTCGTTTCAATACACTGAATATCTCGCTGAACAATTGTCTGTACTCCGGTGTTTTCCTAAATCTACTCTCGAACGGGCTATTGTCGTCGTAAATGCTGAACTTGCAGTCCTCGCCGTCGGCGATCGAGCAGAGGAACGATCCGGGCCTGCCCTCCGTTTGCGTCGCTTTGTTGCTCGTCTCGTCTGAGAATCCAGATGACGAAGTCTCGGCTTCAGAGAAGTCGGTAGGCGTAGCGGAAAATATCTTCTTACCGCATGTCTCGGCTTTCGCACGTGTACCACCACCACCACCACCACCGTTCCCGCTTGCCGATTTCGCCGGCTCTTGCTGAATCTCCGCCTCCGACGCCGGGTTCTGAAAGCTGTTAAATTCACCTGACATTTCTAATTCTTCTTGCAACGACATCGGCGTCGGCACGCTGTCCTTTCGTCGCAGCGCCGACCGTCTTTGAACTTCTAGCAAAGCTTGGTACTTCTCTACTAGCACTCTGTACGGGTTCTTTAAATCGCTCGATACTTCGTTTTGGTCGTTCGAGTCCTGAAAACGATATAATTCTCGTTTTATGGATGTTGCGTCTCGAGATAGTGCTTGCGGCTAAATTCTTGCAAGTTGAATAAAAAAAAAAAAAAAAAA